CTGCTTTATAGCCCGTTTGGCCAAGCTGCAAAAATCAGCTTATTTTGAGAAGCGCTTTTTTTCAAAAGTGCTTTTCTCAAAAGTACTTTTGGTGAGAAGCAGTTTGTGTTTGGCTAATTAGTTTGAAAAGCACTTCTGAGCAACAATTAGTATTTGGCCAAGCTTTAAAAAACTGCTTCTAAGTGTATTTTTCTCAAAAGTGCTTCTCAAAAAAGTGCTTTTGGAGAGAAGCTACTTTTTTCTGCTTCTCCAAAACTGCTTCTGCTTCTCCACAAAAGCAATTTTTTTCCTTCCAAAAGCTTGGCCAAACAATTCAATTTTTGGCCAAAAGTGCTTTTGGCCCAAAAAAAGCACTTTTGGCCAAAAAGAAGCTTGGCCAAACAGGCTATTAATAGGGTGGTTTAGCAGTTTAGATTCTCTCTCTATTGTTGCGAAGTTCTTCCATAGTACTCTTTGACATACTGGACTTTCTCCTCCTCTGGCTGTGGCTTTACCTTCTGTGGGGGTTTCCACTTAAATCTTGGTGTGGTTTAATTTAATTTTTTATGTTGTTTATTGCGTTCATTTGCTTACATTATCTTTAAATTTTTCATTTTTTTTTGGGGGGGGGGCAGGGATAGGGGAGTTATTAGTAACTAATAAAACCTTAAAGTTAGATTTGTCCAGGCTTTTACGTGTATGGATAGATTAGCACTCATATGCATGAGCAGTAGCTGTGTTTTCATTTCCCCCAGCAACGTGTTATATTGAGGTGAATAGGAACTCAACGGTCAAATACTTTTACATGCACAAAACTTCTTACCTTGACGGGCAAAGAGGCATTACTGGCTCTTTTCCCTGTCTAGTCTCATAAAATTTTCGATCTTGGACCTAAAAGTCAGTATAGTCGGCGATTGAGATTGAGTATTGACTGTAGTAGAACTTAGGAAGAAAGTAAAATCAAGAAAGCGATAGCTCTACTACTTGAATACCTATAAGTTATTACCTATCTGTAGGGCAATTGCTAGATTACCATGTCAAGGCTTTTGCTAAGTCTGTATCTGTAATTGTTGCACTTAGACCAGGTGACATGCACCTAATAGGCACTATGCGTTGAGTTTTAAATTTTTAACCCTCAAAGTATGGTCAGCGATTGACTGTAGTAGAACTGAGGAAGAAAATGATGTTTTAGGATGTGAAGTGTACTTGAGTACCTAAGTTTTTACTTCGCTGAGCTGTAGGGTAATTGCAACATTGTGATGTCAAGGCTTTTGCTGATACTGTATCTGTAGTTGTTGCACGTAGACCAGGTGGCTTGCGCCTAATAGGCACAATAACATGAAGTCTTGATAGTGAATTAGACTTTTCACCGGTGAAGTCTTGTTTTTACATGGCTCTCCTACAATTGAAGATCATATGTCTCAAAGTGCGCAATGTATTATAAGAGACTTTTGTGATTAGTGAGTAAAATTTATTAATCTGTTTAGTACCAAGTAGGTACTGGATAGATACAAAAGTGTTTGATGGAATCATGGACTTCACATGCTAAATGAAACCAGGAAATACAGTATATATTCTGTTTACATCCTTTCTATGCCAAAGGTACAAATGCTGAAGACATTTAACTTTACAAAAGGTAAGGATAAAAGCTTATTCTCAAAGCACCTGTGGTTTCTCTCTATCCACACTGTCCAAGATATACATGATGGGGTATTTTTTTCATTTCTTCTTCAGCTCCTTCCTGATATTCTGTCCATTCCAACTGGTCATTGTGTCCTTCAAGTATAGGAAATTATCTACATTTAATTGGTTTTCATCACTTGTTGAAAGTTTTCTGTAGTTCTGTAGTAAGAGCGAAACAAGTGACGTGTGGGTTAGGCGCACGTCATGAGTTTGAAATCTACCGTAGAAAAAACCTGGTACTTAAGTGGAGAATGATAGATGGGCAGGCCCATTATCAATCAAGTTTCAAACTGTGTGCCTATGGGCCCTTGGGGATTTCTTGGTTATAAAAAAGATAATTCTGAAGTTCCATGGTGGCTGAACTAGATGCCCTCCTTAGTCCGTGTGGCTGAACTAGGTGCTCTCCTTAGTCCTTAGTATGTAATAATTAGACAATCGGTCCATTTCTTGGATGAAATGGTGGTGGAGTTAGAGCTGTTAATTGGTTAAAAGTTATTAGACAAGACAAATTTAAGGGGAATGACTTCATTGTAGTTATTGTCTGAGTTTTTAGTACTACTACTTCTCGTTATTCTTTATTTTTAGCTTGCTTATGTCATGATCATGTCAAGCAGGTCTACTTTTTGATTTCTCCCAGCTTCTTGTCTGGGTTGACTTCTTTGTTGAGGTTAATATTTTTAGGAAATCTGGAAAGCTAACTCTATTATGAAAGAAGTCCTACAAAGTCCTTTGGTGTTGTACGTGCAAATCTTGGAAAGTATTTTTTTCTTGTTTTCATAACCAGCAATAATAATACTCTCTTTCTCGACCTTAAATTTTCTCCGCAGATGCTAAGGTTTCAAGCCCTGAAGAAAATTTGCTTTGGTAGAAATGTGCTGTAACTTTAGATGTTCAACATAGAACAGCAAAACTCATATTCTTGTAATTGACTGAAAGTTTGAATTGGCTAGTTTCCCTCTTTGGTTTAAATGTTAATTTTTTTTTCATCTTGTTGCTTTCATGCTTTCGAAGCGGTATATTACATGCCTGTGTAAGAGTTCATTTGAAATGATTTGTTGTGTTCTTTTGTTGTTTAAAAACTAACTTTCTGAAAAGAAAAAAAGTTCATGTCTAAGACTCTGAGTAAGACAATATTTTCTCTGTGAGGTATCAGTGAGACAATATTGAGAGACCTTGCCACCTCTCTTTCTCATTAAAGTGATTCCTTAAATTTGCATCTAAGATAGTATTTGTTTTTTTGTTTTTGATAAGGAGAGGTAAGGTCTGTGTACACACTAAAGATAGTATTTGTTTTTGGTTTCTTGTTTCTTCTTTCTTGTTGGTTCAGGCAAACCAAGATCCACAACATAGGTGCAACACTTGTTGGTGTGGATAAAATTGGTAACAAATACTATGAGAGGCTAGGCGACGAGCAATATGGTTGGTACAGCTGCTTCCTGCTTTCCTATGTCTGAATCAGTTTGCCTACTTGTTGGTACATCTACTTGTTGTTATCTTGTTCAATGAGAGTGCCTGCAGAATGCATATTCAAGGTTACGGGTTCCCTTAAGTATCACTTAAAAGTTGAGGGTTGTGTCATTTGTTTTGTAATATCTTATGCTCCCCTTTTCCCTTAAGGCGATCAGAGGAAAGGCTTTATGTAGCCACATATAAGAATGGTTATATATTCCCCTTGTTCTAGGTAAAAAAGCAAAGACCTCTTGCACTTCATTCACTGAGTAGTTTTTGCCGCCTGCTTGCATTATCCACTAGCAAGAGTTGCTACTTTGTCCAGTCAATACTTCATGGTAACAGAACTTAGTGCGTTTCAAATAATCTGCTTCGGCATGTGCATTCTAGTGATCTTTCTTGGTAGAGGATGTTAAGGCTTGTTTGTTTCACCGTGTGAAATAACAGATTTCTACCTGGTTAAACATGCTCTTATAGGCGGTTTTTGGAAGCTTGAAAATACATTTTCATATTCTAGAGATATGTTAATCTTGTTTAAGTAACTAACTGCATAACCTTAAGAGTAAAGGTTTGGAGTCTCATCGCCCTTAATCCCCATGTATATGCAGGGAATAGTTCCTCTACCCAAATTTGAGAGACCTTTGACCTCAGTGATTTGTTTATTTTGCATTTATGATTGCTTAAGTAAACATTTTTTTGTAACATGATTATACAGGAAGACACCGGTGGGTGGAGTATGCACAGAAGGATCGTTATAATGCTTCACAAGTTCCAGCAGAGTGGCATGGCTGGCTCCATTACATCACTGATCACACCGGAGATGAAGTAAGTCCTTACAACTTCTCTTTGATGCGTACCACACCATTTCAGAATTCTTATAGTACATGCCATGCAGCTGCTATTGCTGAAACCAAAGAGGTACGGACTTGAGCACAAGGAGAACTTCTCTGGTGAAGGTGATGCATACATATATCACTCCAAGGGACACGCTTTGAATCCTGGACAAAGAGACTGGACTAGGTACCAAACTTGGCAACCCGCTAAGAAGGAATAAGTTCCAATTTTTTCAAGAAAAGCAACTTCTACAGCAGCTGGAGAGTTATATGGATATTCTGCCATGCTTCGTTAATAAAAAGCCCTTGTACTGAACCTATGGTCTTGTGTGCCATCAAATTTCAAGTTGATACACTTGCTGTAAAATTTTCTTATCCTGGATATGGTGTTTAGGTGTTGAATTGGATCCTAAATGTTGTAATGCATACTTCATACCTTCACGGGTTTAAAGTATCTGATGGTTATTTATTGAAACTAATCTATTCAGTGATGTGTGATCCCATTGAAACTGAAAATGGTGGCACGTGGTGGAAGAGCCAATGGTGATTGTGGCCATGCATGCACTGAATGTTATGACTCCTTTTGTGCTGAGTAACTGCGGAGAGTTGTTTAATAACACATGTTTTAGGCTTAATACATAGTTGATCCCCTCAGCTTGTAGACAAATTCCTTCAGCACACCCCAAAACACGAGCAATTTTGTATGCACCAACTGTTTCTCCCAATCGTGCGTATTTTACACACAGAAGAAGAGCGCGAATAGTAAAAATATTGTAAAAATTTCTCTCGGCTGCTGCTCTCTCTCATCTTACTCCCTTCATCATGTACATACTAAATTGAATATACAACAGAAAAAAAGAGTGCTCAATCAGTCTAGGTTTCAGACTCTACATTTACTTTTCAATCTTGGTTTCAGACTTTAGATTTACTTACAATGATTTTCACCAATTAAATCCAAAGAAACATTTTGATTACCTTTTTCAAGTAGCCCATGGAACCGAGAGTGAATTCACATGGAACAGGGATGTTGAAGTCTTGAGAAGCATACGAGACCTTGATTGTAATTTGCAATTGTGGCATTAAACCTATCAGTACCAGTAAAAGAAGCATCATCTTCTCTCTTTTGGACAAGCATGCCGCTGGGTCTCATTACCTGCACAGCTTCGTCGCTGCTACTGCTATTAGCTACCCCATTTATTCCCAAATATAGAGAAAAAGAAAAAAAAAAATTAGTTACATTCACTTTTGAGTAGTTGTGCCTTGATCCCTTCTTGTCTTGATTTAACATTATAGCACAAAGTTGCATAGATTATAAATAGTCATAAAACTTTTACCTTTCCTTCTACTTTGATGCATGACTTCCATTTTGTTTCAAAATATTTAGCAAATATGTGTGGAAATTTTTCTTCACTCAAAACTAAATCTTTTGGCTATTCTCACTTTTATTTCTACATTTGAGTATTTTTGAAATAATCAAATAATGTTAAATGCAGTTTCTTTCGGTCCAAATAATAAAAAAAGTAGTATCCAGAAGATATATTTTATTATTATTTTTATTGTTATTATTTGTTGCTGTATTTCAGTTGCATATACAATATTTTAGGTTTTTTGTAATTACATTTTTAATTCTCTTAATTAGTGAAAAAGAAGTTTTGTTAGTTGTGGACATACCAAGTTCAAAGAAAGCCCTAATGCAATGGTGAGGACAAAAGTTAATTAGTGCAAAGAGCAATGACAATTCAGGCATTGCACATAGTAGGATATAAAAAGTTGCCTTGATTCAGTTCCCACACCGGCAAAGCAACTATTGAGACACCGAAACTAGGAATATAAAAAGCCAAAGGAGAGACGCTCTAAAGCATACCTTTCTCGGCCTTTTGGCTAAGATCAAGTGTAGTATCTGTTCTTATCAGTTTAATATCTGATATGTGGGCCATCGGTCTACACGATATTAACTCAATTGTTTAAGGGGGAGAGTCTATTAAGGTAGCTTGCTATCTGGGCTCTCGCGCGTCGCCTATGCGTTGCAGTACAGCATGGGCCTGGCGCACCCCACCAAATCAGTTCAATCTTTAGATAACTGTCGTGGCCCAATGGCCCAATATGATTGTGCATTGTTAGGCATTTACATAATTTAGCTGAGCTTGGGGGACTTAATGTGTCTTTTTAATTAGGTATGGACTTAAATAAATATTTTTGAATTTGAGGTCACAAAAAGTAAGAATTATTACTTTTTGAAAATACATAAATTGGGATTTGACGGAGTTAATTGATGTTCAAAACACATAATTAAAAATATATAAATTGAAATAGAGGGAGTTAGTTGATGTTCAAAATACATATTTGTGTTAATTGCTACCGTAATTTTGGGTGTTGTTATGTGTAGTTAATTGTTGGTATGTACATTTCTTTACTGAACTAATATCTGTCAATTTGAAAATTATTGACTGTATGTTTACATTTCTTTATCGAACTAATAGCTGTCTATTTGTTATCGAATTAGAGAATTTGTCGGTTTTTAATAAAATAAAATAACAATAATAATAGGCTCCACTAGTGATTTGTTTTTTTACAAATTTTCAGGATTTAACAAAGAACTTCAAAAAAATAATAAAAATAGAGGAAGAAGTAAACAAAGAAGGAAATTATTTCTTGATGTGGTAATTATTCTATTAAATTAACCTTTATGCATTTTCTCAATTTTCTGTTAAGTTGAATAGCAACGTTGCTCTCTTATTGGCCGCTCCTTTGAAATTAGTCATCTCCCTTGTACTGCTTTCTAATTTCTATTAGATATTCTCAATTCTTTCACCTAACTTTTCCAGAATTTAAACCACTAACATAAGAAAAAGAGTAAATACAGTTAGCTTCACATACTCTAAGCTGTGAGCTTACATCTTCAAATTCGCCTTCTCTAATGGCGACAGCCAGCGATCCCGAGCAGCCGATTGTCTCATTCACTGACAAGGTCTTTTAATACTTTGTATATTTGCTGTAACATGTTTTTATCCGTTATTTGGGGAAAGCGTTGAGCATTTTTTTTTGATTGTGAATTGGTGTAGGGTGAGATTAACAACGTGCGAGAGCCACTTCTAAAAGGAGAGCACCATCCTGAGAACTACTCAATACGTTCCGCAATACTTCCGTGAGTATCTACTGATTGAATCCACTTTGTAATCTGAGCCATCAAATTTAATTTAAACATTGTAGTCACCATTTGGAAAGCACCGGTAAGGGGCGTGCTTTTAGTAGATTCTGGAATTGTTTAGTCAATTTCTTGGTAATTCAAATAATATGTATAACTTATAATATGAATTTTGGCTCAACAACAATCCTCTATTAGGGTATCTTAACTATCTATACAAAAGGGAACATTCTCTTTAAAATTTGGATTTGTTAAGTCATCCTTTGCTGTAATTCGGCATATTGTGATATTGTTGGCAAGATAGATATCGGTCTTTATTCTCAGATATGAATTAATCAGATGATCCAAATGAAAAAAAAAATCTGATGCGTTTTAAGAAGAAAAAAGAAAGAAAATTTCTGGCTTCAAAGTGTTAGCGTTCGGTTATATTATACTGAAAATTGTACACGGCCCGACGGCCAGTTGCTAAGGTTTAGCATTCCAGAATTAGAAGGAAAAGAAAATTAGGATAGAAAAATACTTATTACTTTATTCTCTTCTGGGTCCTATGTTGATTAGCTTAGTAGAGAGACTTATTCTTTTCATCTTTTCCGTCTGAATACATTATGATAAGTTGATGAACGATTTCCAGATTTCTGTTTCCTGCTTTTGGAGGACTGCTTTATGGTTATGATATTGGAGCCACATCCTCTGCTACAATTTCCATAGAGGTATCTTCTTTCCTTTGACCTAATAAAGAGTCCCTGTGATTTGTTATAACTGAAAAAAAAAATAAAGAAGTCTAAGGACACTGTTTTATAAAATAAAGATTTGTTATAGGACTGTTCATAAGAGCCTTTCTCTAGTGAGTTAGTGTAAAAGGAGAAGAGAACTGATATTGTAGGAAACAGATTGAAGTCTCAGCGTTGGTTCCAGAAAGTAGGAAAAAGACTGAACTTGACATTTTTATCTGTCTTTCCGGTTACAAGAGTGGGACTTGAGGGGTCACCGAACCCCGTAAAATTCAGCAGAAATCTTGTATATGTGTATGTGTATACTTTGAAATGATTAATTTAAATCACTTGACAACCTGAACATAAAAGCATTTAAGGGGCACTGGTTGAGCAGAATACAGGTGCCCCCGTCGCGTTAAAATCCTGGTTCCACTTTTGCCGGTTACCCTGTTTCTATTTTCCAGCACATGGTAGTTTGTGATATCTTTTTAAGTTTATTTTCAATTTAGATCAGGCTTTGAACATCGTGTATCTCAAGGTCTTTGCTGATGCAAAGATGTTGATAGTCATAGAAATGCATCAACTTGAATTGCTTGTTTTTCTTCAACGACAGCTATAGATATTTTTTACAGTTTCAAGTTAATCTGGAAAAGTCATCAAATGATGCTGATGGTGATCCTTTTAAATGCACCCAACTGTTGACGGTTCATAATATTTGCTTGTCACATACGCTATTGTTATTAGTTCTGGTATATAGAAGTTATGGCTTCTAATTGGTCACCTTGGATATATTCTGCAGTTGGCTCATTAATTAAAAAAAACAGCTTTTAACATGTTAATGTTGCTTATATTCTGCAGTCAGCTACATTTAGTGGAATTTCTTGGTATGACTTGTCTTCGGTGCAACTTGGTCTCGTTGTAAGTCTTCCCTTTTCTTGTAAATCATATGTGCCTTCTTCTGTCAGAGCTTCGGAAAGATCTTATGTTTGCTGATTGTCACAGACTAGTGGCTCACTGTATGGTGCTTTAATTGGCTCAGCCGTTGCTTTCAAAATTGCTGACTGGCTTGGTTAGTTTTTCTATTGATCACAATTGGTGTCACATTTCAAATTGTGACTGAAACTACTTAATTAATTTGCAGGGAGAAGAAGGGAGTTGATTGTGTCTGCTTTGTTCTATTTTGTTGGAGCTCTGGTAACAGCATTTGCTCCTGTCTATGTTATTATGGTAATTGGGCGCCTGCTGTATGGTGTAGGAATTGGACTGGTAAGATACTGCAACGTCTTTAACCTTCTCTTTCCATTTTATTTTTTCTACCAGGGGTCTTCATATTTTCACCTTTGAATTGAGATGGTGCATTCTCAGGCACGTGAGTCCTTCCACTTGTTTATATCTCCTTTAAAAGTTGTCTACTGTTTACCATTTTCTTTATTCTCTGAGGTGTCTTTCTACTTTCCCTGAACTCTACCTGGTGCTTTCACATACATGAACCTCTCCCTTCTATTGTTCTTCTTTATGAGTTGTCTCCTGATTATACTCCTGAACACAGAAATGCACTCTTTTATCTTCCTTTCTTCCTGTTTGATTTGGCGAGGCAACAATTACAGTAGGCCATCAAGGTCAAGTCAAGAATTAAGGAGTAGTAACCGGAAAAGTATTTCGGGAATCTACTTCTTTTTAAAGACCCAACTTGCAAACTGATTGCTCCATTTTCTCCTTCTGTTCCATGGTAGGCAATGCATGCTGCTCCCATGTACATTGCTGAAACGGCTCCAAGCCAGATACGAGGACAGCTGATTTCTCTTAAGGAGTTCTTCATAGTTTTTGGGATGCTAGTAAGTACTACATACTTGACTGAAAATTCTGGTTGGTCTATACGGCCATTAATGTAGAGGAAGTTGCACTTTGGATCTATAAGTATATTTCATGGTATTATTATTTGTTGTACTGGGCTCTTTTCAAGTGTGGAAAGCTGTCATTTGTAGGTTGGATATACAGTTGGAAGCCTTCTGGTAGAAACTGTTGCTGGTTGGCGATATATGTATGGAGTTAGTGCCCCTTTAGCAGTTATTATGGGAATTGGAATGTGGTGGCTTCCTTCGTCGCCCAGGTGGATTCTTCTATGTGCTATACAGGGGAAGGGTGAGTTGCAGGGTTTAAGAGAGAAGGCCATATGTTGCTTGTGCCAGCTTAGGGGAGCAGCAATTGGTGATTCAGCACCTCGTCAAGTAGATGACATTCTGTCCGAGCTTTCGCAGCTAAGCGAAGAAAAAGAGGCTACAATAGGTGAAATGTTGCAAGGAAAATGCTTGAAAGCCCTAACAATTGGTGCTGGACTAATCTTGTTTCAACAGGTAACTATATAACTAATAGCTTCATTACCATTCCACTAACAATGATCTAACTGTGTGCTCACATCTTTTGCTTTCCACTTGGCAGATAACTGGGCAACCAAGTGTCTTGTATTATGCTGCAAAAATTTTTCAGGTACACTTGCGAAATAGGTGAAGGTTGCTAAATGCTAATGCTGTTCTTATATCACTTTCTCTTTTTCGCGCCATTCTAACTTATCATACAATGACAGGATGCTGGATTTTCTGCAGCAGCTGATGCTACAAGAGCTTCGGTTTTCCTTGCGCTGTTGAAGGTGGTTTCTTGAGGGAGATCGTTTTCTTTCTCTTTCTCTTTTAACCTTGTTCTTACCTGGAAAAGAATGAAAAAAACAAGATGTCCACTCAGGTGGTAAAGGACACTGTTTTAAGTAATACGTATTATTTTTGGTAATGTCAATTTGCAACTTCCTGTGGTGTTAAGTGGATAAAATACTTGCATTCGAGGTTTGTTCAGAACATCTTTGCAAAGTTGATGCAGCAACACTCATTGATGTAGAAATAATGATAATAGTCGTACTAGTCTAGCTTTTCCTTTTGGCTTTGCTTCCTCTGTGGCTCTGTGCTAGTTATCCTGTTTGCTTTTATGGGATATTGCTGCTAGTTTCAGTTAACTTTTGCTACAGCATTAGAATGACCCTACGGTTCCTTTTTTCTCACCATGTTCAGCTCATTATGACTGGAGTAGCAGTTGTAGTTGTTGATAAGCTTGGGAGGAGGCCTCTGCTTCTTGGAGGTGTGTCTGGGATTGTAAGTGCTACACCCTCTGTTTCATTTTATATGTTTGACTGGACAACTGAGTGTTAGATGTTAATTTGACTTGTGTATAGAGGTAGTAAAAAGTATTAAATTAATGGTATCTGGTTTGAAAAACATTACTATATATTTAAATGTATTGGAATTCTAGAGAGTAGTGAAACTCTGTATTAAATGATATTTGAAGGAGAGTCTTGGCGTAACTGGTAAAGTTGTTGCCATGTGATCAGGAGGTCACGGGTTTGAGCCGTGGAAACAACCTCTTGAAGAAATGCAGGGTAAGGTTGCGTACAATAGACCCTTGTGGTACGGCCCTTCCCCGGACCCCGCGCATAGCAGGAGCTTAGTGCACCGGGCTGCGCTTCGCTTTGATATTATTAATGGAATGTTGTCAAACATTCAGGACCGTGTCAAAATGAGAAGTGTCATGTAAATTGAAATGGAGTGAGTATTAATTATATTAGTTTATGATTTCGTGGATTTGACAGGTTTAACCTAAGATAACTTACTTCCAAAGAAGCAACTTCACAACAATCAATGTTAATTTTACTGAAGCTCCCACAAATCATGTATTCTCTGCAGGCAATATCACTTTTCCTCTTGGGATCATATTACACTTACCTGGGTAATGTACCAGCCGTGGCTGTTACTGCCCTGCTACTGTATGTTGGCTGTTACCAGGTAATTCAAGCTTTATTTCTTTCAATATTTGTGCTTGAAAGTGCTACAATAGATTTGTTTGAGTGAGTCCAACTTTTGGCTATACAGTGCGAATGACATCATGATTTTTTACACATTTTATTAGCTGCAGTAACTGTAGATTTGTGTTATCTTTTGAAGAGTAAGCAACAACCTTTGCTCATCTTTAACCCCGCTGGTATAATGAAAATTATTTCTTTGGACATTGTGAATGTCCGCTACTTTAAAAATTCAGTGGACCGTGAAAATAGTCAAATCTTATTGGTAACTGGGATTGAAACGGTTTGTTGGGAGAAGCTTCTTCTTTTAATTGATCTTATACTAGCAGAGCTTATGAAAAGGAAAAAGGTAGGAGATCCTTTTGACTGTTACACACCATCGTTTCACAGATCTTGAAATTAGGTCATAGATCAGTAGAAGAAAAAGCATCTGAAAATTATTCACTGGGGTACTAGAAAGTAATTTTTAATCCAGCATTGGCTTACCTAAGAATTATGTTATAGGAATAAAAGAAGGAAAGTTGGGGCTTTGTTGAGTATGTTTCCATGAGTTCGTGCCAAAATCATAGTCTCCCTCGAATCTTTCTCTCGCTAGTCTTTTGTGTATCAATTGAAGTTCTGACAAATCTTTTCTATTATTAATCTGCTATGTATATGTCCATGTCCAAAAAGTGAAGAACATTTGGACGAAGGGTCTGTAAGACTTCTTGCATTCTTTTCTGAGGTACTAATTTGCAAGAGGTTGAAAATCTAAAATAGTAGTACTTCCTGGATTGTTCCCAAAAGAAGTGAAGTCTTGGACATACTTTTTGAGAGAAGAAACAAATAAAAAGGAAAAATGAAAGAGTTTACTATGGTGTATTGTCAGTTCCAAGATAACATCAGCAGTTATTTCTGTGATTTTCTGTGTTTTTTAGGTTTTAGGAATTTTTTGTAAAATATTATAGCCTATGGTTTTCTAAACGACCCTCTTGCCTTTTTTCATTTCTTCTTTTGTCTTAATTATAACATTCCTTGAGCCACCAAAAAAAATAAAAAATTCTACGACATCTCTATCCAGCTTCTTTTGTTTTTTGAGCTAGACCAAGTATTGCTCTGACATTTTGAAGTCATCTTTTGCAGTTATCATTTGGTCCAATTGGTTGGTTGATGATCTCAGAGATCTTTCCCTTGCGCGTTAGAGGTCGAGGGTTGAGTATTTCAGTTCTTGTGAATTTTGGTGCAAATGCACTAGTGGCATTTGCTTTTTCTCCTCTTCAGGTACCGAAAACTCTTTAATTTTCTAAATGGTTATTTTTGCTAAATGGTCTGTTATAGAATTCCCTTAAAAGCAACGTGAGGCATGCTATTGTCAATTCGTTCGAGGATTTTTTTTAATTATTATTTTAAGCCTAATCTTGATAAGATAAGAGATGAAAAGGATAGAGGGTGTTAAGGAATATAGCATATGACTTTCCAAGAGTACCAATTTCAAATATCTGGTTTTACCCTCTATCCGGGAAGAAAAGGATAGAGGGTGAAACCAGAGGCTTGAAATTAGTACTCTTGGAAAGTCGTATGCTGTATTCCTTTATCATACAGAATTAATAGTATCCATTTAAGATGCAATTAAGGCGTCTCTTTTGCCTGTCATGCATAGGATTAAAATATTTTGTTTTATCCTGGAATATCTTCAAGCTTATTATGTATTTGAATGTGCAGATATTGTACACCCTCTAGTTCTAACAGATTGTATTCTAAATAGTTAAGTTAATGATTTGACAATAGTGGGTCTATTAGGTGCTAATTCTGGTACTATCTCATGGTCAGAGTACATCTTCTTCTGCTGATTAGAATCTGTGTTAGTGGTTGAGCTTTCGGACTTCACTTGTCTTTTTTATTTTGGAAATTCTCTCAAAAGAACACATAAATTGAGTAGCGATTACAATATATTAATCAATCATACGTTAATCCAGAACTAATAGGGGTAGGTTACATGAATCTATTTTGGGGGCACATTTCAATTCAATAGTCAATACTGAATCAGGTTCTTCAATCTCTAAAAATTTACTAAATGGGGTTCTTAAAACTAGTTAAGCTCTAACTCTTACATTTGTCCCTGCACTAACTTACAAGTCTAATATGACTCCTGACAAACACCATAAGTGATTAAATGTACGAGTCCATCATGATACCGGATAAGATTAAGATTTTAGTAACAGTAACCGGATCGTGTGCATCAGAATTAATATTAAGCAGAGGATTATTTTTCTTTGTTAGATTGAAGATGTATGAGGGACCAATAGAAGAACATAGTTAGCACCTTAAGGAATCATGGTTTATGATTGTTAAAGGATAAAAACCGTAGGGTATCCCCTACGCAAGTATAATTGCACTAGATAGTTTGGTCTAGCACCCAAATTCTTTATTGCTTGGAGACAACATAATTCCCACTGGTGAGTTTATATCATCTAGAAGTGGTGATGTAATTTGTTCAAACAAGTTTAAGTCATCTAGCTGTCCATCTTAAGTTGACAAGGTACTGGTGGATTGAGTATTCAAGGCTATTCTACCCTTGTTCCATCATATGTTTCTTTTAAGTCTGGCATTATTTGGCCTTTGAAATGGATGTCATTTAAAAAAATCAACTACGAGCCAGTAACAAATAGGTCTTTGAGAAACTATATTTTTTGTTACTCCTAATTGCAGGTCTTACTGGGGGCGGGAACTGTTTTCTTTATCTTTGGTGGCATAGCTGTTTTATCTCTTCTGTTCATCTTCTTCATCATACCAGAGACAAAAGGGCTTACTTTGGAAGAGATTGAGGCCAAATATCTCTAGAACAGATCGGACTAGTTCATTTCCGTACTTGAATTTGTCTCCTTGTCACAGTACCCGGGGCAATCAAGTTGTTTGTAAATGCTCCTACACCAGTATACGAAATGGAGGGCTTGTGATTAGCCTAGTTGTGTATTGCATCATAAATGTATTATTGTCATTAATAATGGGTCACTATTTTGTACAAAAAGAGAAATATGGCAAGAATATTGTTCTAATGTGTTGTTTATCTTGATCCCCACTTTGGACATTCTTTCAGCATAAGTATATTCTCGAATGTTTCGGTGTACTTTTCTCTATTGCCGTTGTCGTATCTACCATTCATAAGATGTTATATCTTGAATATTTTGGATTGGTGAATTTTTCATTTTAAAAAGAGATCATAATAACTTAATGAACTAAACTAAAATGGTCAAAAAAACGCAGAGGCTATTATTTGCTTTTAGCTGCGGGAAATATTGTTTCGACCAAACCATATGCAATAGGGAGTGCCATGATGATTAATGACAGAAGTCTTTCTGTATTAAAAACATTTATCATTTTTGTTAATAGAAATTTAATTCGATCACAGATTACGTTTAAGTTTTACCTAAATTTAATACCCAAAAGCTATAAAATACAGAAGTTTAAGAGCCCGTTTGGATTAGCTGATATAATGTAGCTGATAAACATTAGGTGCTGATACTTATTTAATAAATAAGCAGTTACGTGTTTGGATACAAGTGCTGAAATTGATAATAAGCTGCTGCAGTATTTGATAAAAGAAAGTGTTGATAAGATTAAAATGATTTAAATAACCTTATAATTGTTTACACTTATAAGAGCGTAATTTCTTCAAAATTTTAGATTCCAGACCGATTCAAATACAAAATATTCTATTTGTCATTTTATTTTAAATACAACTATGCTTAGATAAATAATTTTTATGATAAATATAATTTATTTTATGATAAGCATATAATTATAAGTTATAATAATTAATAAAGTGACAAAAATTTCTCAGTAAAAAATAAACCTAAATAGGACAAAATATTTGAAGAGAAACAAACACTATCTTCATCACCACAACACTTAGAAAGCAATACACCAAAAATTTTGATATGTCCTCATTTATTACATACAGTTCAAAGATTAATGCACATACACATAGATACAAATATGCAAAGTAATAGAGATTTTTTTTATCTTAACTAGTCAATAAGAATTCAAGACTTGAAGAGGAGGGAAGTGGGATTAGGTTGAAACAATACTTGAGGCCGTGAGTGTTGATGTAAGAGTTTTTTTTTTTCAAAAAAGAATATTTTAAGGATAAAATGGTAAAGATTTTGGTCAAACTTAAAGTGCTTATAAGCTAAAAATTTCATAGATGGGGGTGACCAGCTTATGACTTTTGGCTTATTTTTGACTTATAAACACTGTTAACTTTATCAAACGCGTAGATAAGTCGAAAAGTGCTTATAAGCTAGACCAACTTATAAGCTTAGCCAAACATCACCAATCGAAAATCACTATTCATTACTCCCTTCGTTTCAATTTATGTGAACCTGTTTGACTGGGCACTGAGTTTAATAAAAAATGAAGACTTTTGGAATTTGTGGTCCTAAACAAGTCAAAAAGGGTCCCAGAGTATTTGTGTGGTTATAAAAACTTCTCATTAACGGTAAAATTATAAGTTTAAGCTAAATTGTTTCCAAATTTAGAAAGGGATCATTCTTTTTGGAACAACCCAAAAAGAAAATAGATTCACCTAAACTGGAACGCAAGGAGTATATTATTGCGAAAATCTCACTTTATAACTATTAAGTCCAAACTATTTACCTTTTAATACCCATGCCCAAACTATTTACCCTGCCTACCCAGTCGGCCCAATTTATTTACCCGGCCCCCATATTTCACGCGACCCAATCTACCCATCTCTCCTTATCTTCGATCCAGCCCACCTATTTCACCCGGCACAAGCTTCCCACGCTTTTCTTCGTTCTTTAACAGTTAACAAGTAGACTAGAGTACAGTTTCCAAATCTCCATAGCCAACCGATGAGAACGCAAAATTCACCCACATTCGAGTTTTTAATTTTTTTTTTCGATTCCGTTCTATCTCTTCGTCTAGTACCTATTTTTGGGTGACATTTTTGCTTTGGGTGAAATTTTTGCTTCTGAAAGTACATTTTAGTGAAAGTGGGTTTTCAAAATCATAGGATTTTTGTGTTTTCCTTTGTACTTTTGTGAATCAATGTCTATGGGTTGTTGTTTTCTCTATGGGTCGGAAGCATTGTGCGCGTAGATGGTGGCGTCGTGGACAATATCATTCTTCAACACAAGTAGCTGCTGAATTTGTTGCCTCAGCCATGTCTGTTCCTAGTTTTTCCTTATTTTCTGATTCTCAGTCTCTATTTAGTCGTAACCCTAGCAGTAGTCATGTTGAAAACACAACTGAAAATGTAGAATTAGAGGGTGGAAAAGGCAATAATATTAATGTTTCGTCAGTCGATGAAACTCCCTACCTGTCATTACCCGACATAAATTCTGAACCAGTCATAGGAGGTGTTCCTGTGACTGATAAGGGAAAAGGTAAAGTTGTTGAGGATTCTGAGTTAGGGGGAAGCCGACGTGAATCCGTGCCTAAAATAGAGACTCAACCAGTAGATGTTGATTGTAGCGATGATTCTCAGTTAAAGAAGAAAAAAATTGGTATCGCACCCAAGAAGGTAATTTTCTTACAATTATGATCTTTGAGATTTTTAATGTATAGTACATTGTTATTTTTTGATTTCCTGTTATGCTTTTGTATTAAATTATAGTTATAGTCAGTTGTGTTAATTTTAATTGAATTCTATTTCTTCAAGTTCATTCTGTACATTTAAGAGAACTTTTGTAAATTTATTACAATTTCCATTTATTTGTTTATTCCATCTATCCGTTTCATCAATGTTCAGTGCGACGTAATAGTGTTTATAACTGTCAAAATCCATCACTAGATGATTAACTAAGAGAAAATCAAGTACCAACGAATTTTGAGTTTTTGGATGAAGTTCATTTGAGCTGTTCTATGTCTATGTTTCTGTGATATTAGCAAAATTTTAGGCCTATCATTCTTCTTAGAAGAAGTAAAAGATATCATTTTGTATACATTGTGTTTGAGCGTGAAGGAATTGAGTGATCTTTTCTAGTATATTGTACAGACCAGTTAATTTGCAATAATGAGCTTGTTAATTTTGGATGGCATATTTTTCTTTGCTATTAGTTTCTCAATGATTTTGAATCAATATAGACAGATTAAATTAATGTTCTGTTTGAGGTTTAAAAAGGGTCACTGATTCAGTAGTTGTTGTAGTCAACCATATTTATTGAAGCCAGAGCTGCTCTGTGTGATTTCTGATTTTCAGCTTTGCATTAGATGGTTTTGTACATGATTTAGTATTTAGCCAGTTGACAGTGATGTAGAGAAGCATGGAAGGAATGAGACCGTGTAAGTTACGAGTGCGGAATGAGCTTTTCTTTATAAGTGGCATTGTGTGGATGGGGTCAATGGGCGAGAAGCACTGGTACTGTAGCATAAGTTCCTTGTCGAATATTAGCTATCTTGTAGTGCAATTTGATGTGAGTTTATGCTATTCTTTTACTTCCTTAGTAATCTCAAGAATATGCAAGATGAAAAGTATTTTGCTACTATCCTCTAAAATATGTATTTGATAGAATAGTTTCCGGATACTGTAGATTTAATAGCTAAGTTTCTTTTGGCTTTCCCTCCCTAGTAATATTGAATATGCATCTTCAAATGAAACAACTTAAAGTAAGTTTATGCATTGATGGTCACTTAGTATTGCTGCAAATTGTTCCCACACTATTTTCCTTTTGTTTCCTTATAAGTAAAATTTGTAGTTGCCGGAAATTAGTCAGTAGAATTGTATACCCTGCTGGTATATTTATATGTCGTGTTGATATCATATGGTAGTTGTAATATTTTTAGTTGGTTTAGTTGCATTTTAAGTGAATTCTATTTCTGAAATTATCCTATATGAACATGTTTTGCAGTGTTGAGATTTCCTTGTGCCTATGGACTTAGATTATAAACCAAAGGTTGATTGGGATACCAACTGCCATGATATTCATCAATTGAAAGCAAATTTATCAAAGAGGCAACTTCGACTGTTTAAGAAAATATGCTTTGGCTATTTTTTGGATTTGCCACCAGTTATTGTGCAGATTTGGGTTATGCACTATTTGCTTATTAGAGAAGTACATCATGAGGTGAAAAATGAGATGTGGTTTGTAGTGAATGATTCTAGGTTGCACTTTGGCTTGGGTGAATTTGCACTTGTTACTGGGTTGAAATATAAGGGTGATACAAGTATAAAGAGCATAGCAGAGATAGGTTGATTTCAAAATATTTTGGGACTGCATCCGTGACATTTGCCCAACTAGCAGACTGTTTTAAGAAGAAGAAATGGGAAACAGATGATGATGCGTTGAAGATAGCAATTCTTTATTTTGTGAACAACTTCTTACTTCTCAACTTAAAACAAAGGTTATTTCACGGTCTTACATTGACTTGGTTGAGTGCGGTGATTTTAGTAATTATCCCTGAGGTATAGATGTTTATAAAGCTACAATTGACTCGTGTTCCAACAAGTTTCAAGATAAGCCTTCTTTTTATAGACTCGGTGGCTTTCCGTTGGCTTTACAGACTTGGTTGTATGAATGTTGCCCAAGTTTGGATGGTCACTTTGCTGATCATCTTGGAAACAAACTTTCACGAATTTTGAATTGGGTAGTCATGGGTCAAATACTGAATGAGCGAGTTGCTTTGCAAATGTGTAGCTTGCAACGCGAGCAGGTAATTTTCTCATAGTTTTATTGCCTCTCTTAATGTTTTGGTACAGTAGTTCAGTCACAGTTGTAGCAATATCCCAGTTCAGTGATATACTCTGTTGGTATACATGTATACTATATTGGTATCATGTATACTATATCCCAGTTTAATGATATACTCTGTTGGTATACATGTATACTATATTGGTATCATATGGTAATAAGGATCTTTTATCTTTCCATACTATAATATCATTTCTATTTCTAACTATTATGCTTAATAATTGCAGTTAAAGAACATCACCCCAACTGATGATGAGAAGCAACTATTTGATGTGCGTGGTCTAAACTTTGAAATTGAAGTTGAGTGCACTGACAGTCAGCTCGATAGCTTTCAGGTTTTTGGCACTCAATTACCAAAGACACAAAGTATGCATGAAAGTATTGGAGGTGATTCCCAACCTACCAATGCTGAGGT